GTCTATTGGGTTTGCAGGGTATTCAGTGGGCCATGAGGATTAGTCGTGGTACGCGCAAGCTGACCCGAACACCCCATGTAAATAAAAAGAAAAAGAAAAAAGAATGAGGTAACCTGCCATTAGCCGAAACAAAGAATTTTGACAAAAATCACGACTCCAAAACACCATCATCATAATGATCCACCCTATCAATGATGGCTGTTATTTAAAATTCAAGGAGAGGGAGTTTCAATGGTTTAACAAAAGCCTGGTCTATGATGCGCACAACACTTACGGCGAGGCCACCAAATTTGCTTTGTTTCCTCCATTGCTTGGGCAAGCAAATCCAAAGTTCGGCGGTTCCTATAAAAATAGAATAAAAACAAAGCCCTTCTAATTCTTCATTTACTTGACCAGTGTTACTTGATCTATTTTGCTAGAGACCAAGACTTGAAGTTGGTGGTAGTTTGAAATGGGAACTTGGCGATTAGGCTAATGCCGCCTAAACCACGTAAATTGCCTAACATTTTAAGAATTATTTAACTACACAGATGATTGTATCTAAAAGTAGTTTAGTTATGATTATTTTTTAAAATATATTTTATTTAAAAAATATATTAATAATTTTTTTAAATTTTTAAAAATTATTTTTAAAATTAGCATATTAAAATGGTTTGAAAACATTTAAAATATATTAATTTAAAAAAATTTAATTTTTTTTAAAATATTTTTAAAATATACTACTAAACACTCCTAAAGTCCCAATAAATAATTAAAGATGACTAGGAACAAGGTTCTAGGGTTGGATAGTTAATTAGTTAATTGATCATAATATTTTTTTTTATTTTTTTATTTAAAATAATTAATACCTTGTATTTGATATATGGTAGATCAAGGTGATTTGTGACTAATACATGTAAAGAATTCTTTTTAGTAAAAGTAAAGACTCTTCAATATTTAAATAATTATCTTTTAAAAAATAATAATAATATTATAAAAAATACTATGAAAATATATATGTAATAAAAAATAAAAATTATAAACAATTCTAAATGTATCTTAGTATATTTATAATTTATAAATCTAGTTTTTTTTTTGTGGAAAGGAGAGAATAAAGAATAATTTTATTTTTATAATATTTTGAATTGCATTATAAATTATATTTTATTTATTTTATCTAGCCTAAAAAACTTTAATAAATCTTGATTTATTATGTATGTATGTTAGGCGTTTTCATTTTATGTTGGACGCGTTGCGAATGCATGATTAAAAAATTCAACGACGAGTGAGACTGAAAAAATGACTTCCACAAAGCCGCATGATAATATTGGTTACAAGGGCACCAATTGGTCCGGTCAAATGTTTTATACTCTTCCCTTCTCGAGGGTTTTGAGTTTCAACCTTCTTCTAAATTGAAAAAAGAAGTAAATAAAGAATTGTTTTTTCTTTTAAAAAGGGTGTTTTTCTATTATTATTTCATGGGGTTTTCTGACATTAATACTAAAATGAGTCTTCAATTCGATCAAGAAAAACTATTCATGCTAAGACTTTATGGTTTATAATTAGGTTGTTTTCCACATTTTGTTGCGGATAATATTAAATTTTTTGTAATATAAAAATTAATATTTAAGTGCTTTTAATGTATTTAAAAAAGAAAAGAAAAAGATTCATGACTTAAATATTATAAAAAAAAAGTGAGAAGCTAAATTTTTTCTAACCTGAAAAAAAAACATGTTCAAGCACTTTTACTATATTTAAAAAAAAAATTATGAGTTAAACATTATAAAAAAAATGAAAAAATTGCTAGTAATTCAAATATATAAAGATAAAATTAAAAAAAAATAACAAAATAAAATTTTTAAAAACAAAGTACCACCAAATCTAGGTGAGTTCGTCAAAACTCACAAAGGAGAATTATATGATTATAATAATCTAATATATAGCAAAATAATGGGTTGATATGTGACTTAGGTAATCCAAGATTTAGGATGGGTCGGGTTTCAAAAGAAATTTAAGAAGAATTGACCAATTACAAAACAATAAAAAAATATAGGTTAACCTATAACTTGGTCAACCCATGATAAACCTAGTCAACATCAAGTAAAAAATTATTGACTATGTTCCTTTATTTGATTCAAAATGATGTCATCCTTACTTTTTTTATAAAATAGAAAAAAATATTTAACTTAGATTGATACTTACTTTGATTTAACTTTCGAAAAATAAGAGTGTAATCTAAAATTTTGAATTAAATGGAAAAATAAAATATAAATTCATAAGAGAATCCAAATTAAAAATAAAAATCAAGAGAATTAGAACCAAGCTTAAAGAAATAAAAAATTAAGATATTGATTTAACGATGAAATTAAAAAAATTAATTTTTAATTAAAAGGTTAAGAATCAAAATTTAAAATTAAAATATTCAGGGCCTGCACTTGAATGTCATCAAATTTTAAATTGAATAATAAAATTGAAAAGAAAAATAAAATTAACAAAAGAACCCAAAATAAAAAGTAAAAAAACAGGAGGACAAGGATCAAATTTGAAAAATAAAAACCAAGATTATGGATTCAAGAGTGAAATTATAAAAAAATTAAAATTTGATAAAAGGGCTAAGAATCAAAATTTAAAATTAAAACATTGAGGGTCTAATTTTAAATATCATAAAAAATTAAATTAAAAAGAAAAATTAAATTTACAAAAGAATTCAAATTAAAAATAAACATCAAGTAAATGAATACCAAACTTGAAGAAATTAAAAATCAATGATTATATTTTTAATAAGTTAAAATTTGATTAAAAAAATAAAAATCAAGCTTAAAAATCAAATTATTAAGAAGCAAATATGAAATTTCATAAAATAAAATGATAAAATTGATTTTTTTAATGGCCGTTACTAAATTCAATGTGAAAGGGGACAAAGAAAAAAGGAAAAAAAAAAAAAAACAACCCCACATGAAGAGGGCCCTATGTAGTTTTAAACACTGTGGTGGAAGCTGATATCCTTCCATCAGATAACAGTTTAAGTGCCATTTAAAAACGACAGAGTTGTTCCACACGCTAGCAGCTTTTTTCTTAATAATTTTTTTAAATAGATAAAAAACTTAATTGCCCCTAACTCAACTAATAATAACAGAAAAACTTATAGGAAATGAAAAAAAAAACCTTAAATGCAAAGCTTAGAAAATGTGATTTTAGGGTTAATTTATCAATTCTAGTATTTAAAAAACCGAGAATACCCTTTAAAATAATTAAATGAAAATAACTTTCAAAAACAATTAAGTAATTTAACTATACTAGTTAAATATGAGATTATGATAACCACTTTTATGAATTTGACAATAACATTTAAATCTTTATAAAATTACTAAATTATCCTCTTAACATCTATGTTGTTCAAAGATAAAATAATAACTTAGTATGTAACAGAATGAAACATTAAGGTTTTTTAGCTTTATATATAATATAGGATTTTACTCCTAAAGTTGTATGTTACATTTTGAATTACATGCTCACTTTATAAACTCAACTTGATGTATAAACCAAGAAGTTTCATTAAGTTATAAATTAATAGTTGGTTATCCTCTAATTCCATTATTATTATTATTTTTATTATTATTAATTGCTAGTGTAAACGACATCCCACAATTTTGAATATTATTATTGTTAAAAGAAAGACGAGATTTTCTGTTATTTAATTCATCATTCTTTGTCAAGTTTTCATCATTATAAAATAAAAATCATATGCAAGTCGTAATTCATTATTGGTGATTGTTTGAGATTACAATGTAAAGTATTTTTTGAAATGATTTTTATTTGAAAATATATTAAGATATTTTTTTATTTTTAATATTAACATATTAAACTCATAAAAATATTAAAATAACATTAATTTAATATTTTTTAAAATTAAAATTATTTTTAAAAAATATCCATAAATAAAAACAGAAACATTCTCAAACACACACAGCTTTAAAGCTTTCAATCTTCTCTTTCTTGTATTGATTATTGTTTTATCATCTTTTTTGTAAATTGTTGCACTTGTAATTATGTAATAAAAATTCTACTATTTCAAACAAAAAACAGTGTTTCGAAAGTGTAATAATTTTTTTTTGAATGTGTTTTAAAATTGTTTTTTACTTAAAAAATATTATAATAATTATTTCAATATATATTTTTTAAAAGATATTTTTAAAAAGTATATGGCATTACAATACTAAATATACTCAAAATCTTGTCTTTTTCAATAGCTTTAAATTTTATAATTTTATAAATTATAAATTGAAAAAAGTTAAAGACTCATTAATAGCTTAACATAAAAAGGAGTTAGATTTTTTTTTTATTTCAATAACGGTAGAATTTTCATTGATATACACAAAAGGATCTTCTTACATTATGATGAATTTAAAGCAATACTTTCAATAAGGTTCCCTAAATACAAAAAAAAAAAAAAACATCCATCCTACAACTTCAAATCTTAGGTACTAGAACCAAGCTAATTCAATGAATTAATTTATAATTTTATCTAGATGATATTATTTTAAAAGTTTATAAATAAAATTTAAAATTTAAATTAACTTAAGTAAAATCAGATTAATTTCTAATATAAATCTTAATAAATCAAATATATCAATTCTTATAATAATGACTCAAACCTATAATATAATAGTTGTAAAATAAAATTAATAAGACTTACATCATGATATGGAGGGGTTATTTTTTAATTTTTTTTTTTTAAATTTAAACAATATGGAGTTAAGAGCCAAATTTAACTGGACTATCCAATTAACTTGAATTTTTAACGGGTCAATTGATTTTTCCTTTTTTTTTTCCCCTTATTTCTTCATCGAATCCGGACCGGTACAAAACCAAAACCCTAACCAGTTCTTCCACGTTTGCTTCATCTGCACTCTTACTGGGCCCACTTAATAAAAAAACAAAAACAGACGATCCATCGGACACTTACTCACACAAATAAATAAAATAATAACAAACAATAAATGCAAATAATCCACAAAAACAAAATATAGAAAGTGCTGCTAACCACCTTATTATTGTCAACAGACACCACTCCCAACCTCCATTTTCTTCACATACAAAGATCCCGCCTCTCTCTCTAAAATCCTTCCTTTCTCTCTCTAAAACCACAGAAGATACAGGGGGAGCAGAGAAGACACTGACACCGAAGCAAGATGACCGTAGAAGACGAGTGGGTTCAAGTAGCTATGACCGATGACAGTTTGGTGGTGGAGCTACTTTTAAAGCTGAACCAGCCAGAGCCACTCCCTGCACCACGTCGACGACGTCATTTTCCGCAGGATTTGGTGAAGGAAGGAGCCGTTCTGGCTTTGAGTGTGGACTGGAGCGTTAGACAACGACGCTCTTCTTCTAAGCATGTCATGATTACCAGGAGGAAAAAGGGTTCTCATTCCTCTGCTCATGCTAGTCCTACCACTCCTCTTTCTTTTAGCTGTGCCACCTCCGTCAGCGGTGGTGGCGACGGTTTTGATGAAGCTACCACTAGTCTTCCCTCTAAGTTGATTGCCACCTCGAGATCTAAGGTTTGTATGCTTTCTTTCTTTCTTTCTGACTCGGTGAGTTGGCCCCGGTGGTTTCCTGGTGGCATTCTTTGGTTTCTTTTTCAGGGGACGAGATTGCCCTTTGAAAACGTGATATTTATTTTTCTTTCGGTTACGGTTGAGGAAGTCCTTTTTTTTTTTTTAAATAACGATTTTGCCCAGGGAATCTTTCATGAATATAAACACCAGGGTCTGTAAATTCTCCGGCCAACAAACTCACCGTTTCAAGTCATTTTGACTGAGATGCCCTTCTATGACTTTTCATTTCTTCTTCTTTTTTTATTTTGAAAAAAATATTCTTGTGTTTAGAAGGAGAGAATGCCACTTCCATTCGGGTGCCTTTTGAAGGGACGAAAATACCCTCTTATTGAAGGGCATTTTTGTCAACGAGTATTCTTCCAGAATCTAAGTTAGCTGTCGGGGGAGCAACCATAGACGGTGAGGGATGAATATGCACATGGAGTGGATACGGATATGGAAAATGACGAAACTGACCTTAATCATAGTCAAACTAAGTGTGCTTGATTTGGCATGGCGATGAAGGTCAGTTTAGTCATCATGGAAAGCGGAGGCGGCGGCGGCAGCAGAAGCAGCAGCAGCTGTTTTTATGGGTGGCGTGTTTTCGTGGCGAAATAGGTGTGATAGTGTTAGTGGTTGTGCGCACTTTATTGGGAGATATGATTTGGTGTGTGTAGCCGCAGTTTCCCACTTCCTGCGGGCGCTAAAACAAAAATGTTGTTCTTTTCTCACGTGACAGACATGCATCGAGCTGGGCTTAAAACTTGTGACAGAGTTGAAATTGTTGATTGGGTTGTGGGTTTTGTAGCAAGTGACAGGCTGTTTGGATAGCCTCTCTCTTTCTTTTTTTGTCATCTTAGGGTTCGGTGGGGGTCTAAAAAGGGCAAGAATTTCTCGGTCAAATAAATGTCTTTTCCAATATGAAAATCCTGTGGCTAAAATGAAGAGGAAAGTGTGATGCTTTTAGGTGGCAAACTGGTTGGTCTTGAAGTGGGGACCACATTGAACCAAATTTATGGTATATATAAGCTGACCTGTTGGGTTATGTTTAGTATTTGGTATATTTATATTCCTAGCTCGAAAACCTTATAGTATAACTAGCATACTCTTATAGCACACAGAGAAATAAAAACTATTATTATTTTTATCATCCTCCTTCGGTGTTGCATTGTAGACTCTGGGAGAAATTTGTTTGTTACCGAAAAGCATGGAGTGGGTCAATGAATTGAATGTGAATGCTCATGGTTGCTGTGCGTGCATGTCTGTGTTTTACATGACACGCACGGTAGCTGGCATTCCGATATAATAGAATGTAGCGCTTCCATGCCCCCCTTCAAAGGGAACCGAGCAAAGTGTTTCTTGAAACGCGGAAAATAACTTGATTTGAATCATGTATGCATGCATGTTTGTATGCATACATAGTACATGCTTGTGTACAGATAACTATAATCTGTTACGTAATTTTTTTTATTAAGTGGCTGGCAGCAAAATATTAAGTCTGTTAGCTAAGGCTGTGTCATTTTGGCGCATGTATCAGGTTGCCGTTACAAGTGAAACGCCAACCACCAAGAGGTCAAGAAAGAAGAAGGTAATGCAAGTTTCTTATATTGCATGTAAAGTGATGCATGTATTGGTTTTGATCAATTTCTTTATGGGTGTTTTAGAATCTCTTTAGTTGGTTCTAGAAACTATGTTAGTCTGGCAAATGGTTTTAGTGGTTGAGTTAGCTTTAAACCAGCTTTTCTGTCCATCTGTTGTTGCTTTGCTATCACCCTTGAAAAACTAAAGGTAAGCATTCAACTGATGTAGGTGGTTCTGTATGTGGCAATATTACTTATGCTGTCAAGTAATATCCAATCTGGATGTATGATGACATTAAAAAAATAATTATCATTTGCATTGCCTTGTCTAATAGACGTATAATATTTTGGAATTCTATCTCATGGTGTTTTAAATTGTTTGGTTGCTGGCAGAATTTAGTTGAGCTTAGAGAGGAGGAGGGTTTGCTACTGAAGGAAAGAAGGCGTTTGAAAAACGTATGTTCCATTAGTTTACTAGTTTTGAAACCTGGCTTTGTTCTCCTGCATCTTTGCTTTGTGAGGTACTTATTTGGTGTTAATTTTGATATTTACTGTGTGCTTCATTCATGAGCAGAAATTGGCAACCTTAAGTGTGACTGTAGAGAAAGAGAGAGCCACAAATGAAAGATTGAAGAGAATGAAGGTGAACCTATTGTTCTTTCAAACTCATTCTCATTTCTTGTTTTTTTCTTCCCTTTAAAAAGTTCACTTTTGTTTCAGAAATTTCGTAGCAATTTGAAGTATTTTGCTATCCCTAAATTAACACGCACTCTGTATGTGTTTTTGTACTTGACTGGCTTGATAAGTTGTGTGACCGTTCATAACTGATTGAAATGCTCATGTGACATGTTACATCCTTCCCTCTTTGCTGAAACTACTGATTTCTTTTTGACAATCCTAATATTTGTTTCTCATTTTTTCTTGATTCTGTTATTGTAGTTCTTATAGAGATTAAATATTAGAATGATCAAACAGTTTGTATGTAAATAAATTACAAGAATCAGTGAACCGTGCATTTAAAATTTAAACAGATTATCTAACCTACAATATAAACTTTACATGTGATTCTGTGTTTATTAATCTTAATTTAATCATTTATGCATTCCTTGGCTGTCCATGTTTGATGGTTGTCTGGTTGTTCCCTGTCCAAGGCATTTGGTAGGGCTTAAAGGTGATCATATTTGGGTATTTCCTATATGTTCTTTAATTTCCACATCCTAACCTGTTTTGTTGAAATTTTTAGTATTGAGGTGGATAAATGGATACAAAAGTCAAAAGTAGTGAATTTAGCATGTAATAATTGTTTGCTTTGCATGCAATCATGCAAGTGCATTTTATTATTAACTTTGAGCTAGAAATAAAAGATCTGTCATATGTTACAACCCTTACATATTTTAGAGAAGCTTGATGCACAATTATACACCTCTGTCACCCAGACAGGGCCTTGAGATTGCACAACTGCTATGCTATGTTTAATTTTGTTTGCTTCTTTCCTGTTTTCTTTTCCCTTTTCCCTTTTCTTGACAAGTCCGCAGCATGAACTGAGGTTATATTTTCTGCCTATTTTATTCCAATGTATTTAATGCTCCTCCATGAATGGCTATGGATGTAGATAGGTAATACACCAACAAGAAGATGATCGTGATTCTGTTTTTTCCTTGCAGCTTGATTTTCTATCACAGCAAAGACCGGAAGTACTTCCAGCTGCTGTTAAATCAGAAGATGATATTTCAATCCAGCCTCAGGAAACAAAAGTAGCCTGTGATTCCACATATTCAATGTTGCTACACAATGTTTCTTTCTCATTACAGGAGGATGAAGGCACCAAGCCTTCCTTTCTGCTACCTGACCTGAATCTCCCTGTTGAAGTTGATTCAGGCTCTGGTGTTTTGAGCTGAGAAAACTCAGTTCTATACAGGTAGGTATTTTTTTCATTTTTTTTTCAATTCAACCGGCTTTTGTGCGTAATAATACATCATGATTCGGCAGATATTGACGGCATTGCATGATAAAGCTGATGCAAGTACTAAACCATTACCTTCACCGCTTCTTGACCTGTATGCGGATATTTGTTTTCATACATGAAGGTACGGAGGGTAGTGTAGAGATCCTAATCTTTAGCTTCAGTTTACTTTCTTTCTTTTAGCAGATTTCTACGTCCATCCAAATTCTTTGGGGCAAACCTTCATTCCTTCCATTATAGGAAATACCAACAGATAAGATGTAATTATACCATAGATAGTCACATGTTTGTCTACTTGGAATCGAACTGATCTAATTAGATCACCCCCCCCCCCCCCCCCCCACA